GAGCTTCTTTAGGGAAAATAAAGAGGCAGGTCCTTTCGCATACTGATGTATATAAATTACTGTTTACTCTTACATCTTCCTTTGAAGACTTTTTTTTTTGTTGTTTGTTTGGTTGGTTGGGTTTTTTTGTTTGTTTGTTTGTTTTAATTTCAGGCAGAACAGTAGCACCACTAATCCACCTCCACTTCCTCCAGAGTCCTATAGCACTGCTCCACACTGCTTCATGCTGAGGTTTTCCAAAAGTACAGCACACACATATCTGTTTGGAAGAAGCAGAGACTGGCAATGGTTCAGCTCTTAGAACAAAACTTCAATTTTTGTGATCAACAACAAATTGAGCCATATGAGCAAGGTCTCTTTAGTGCATAAAGCAGGCATCCTGCCCCTCTGCTCACTGCCCAGGACATAATGACAGGATGGCTTTCCTAGATTTTATATTTATTTAACCATTCCTCTTTTGCCCAACCATGATGCAATTTGGTTTGCAAAGTGAAGTGCATGGCAAAAGAGGAATGGTTATGTTGTTCACCATATGCAATGAATACAAGTTAGTAGGGCTGTATTTTAGCTGTACTTATTTTGTTTCATAACTCCCTTGTTCGTTGTAGTTCAGAATCTCCACTTAATGCAACTGCTTCATCCCAAAATACTGCTAGGGATGTAATAAGGATCTTGAAGGATTATTCCAGGAGAACATCCAAAGTAGCACAGAAAATCTTAAGGATTCAGATAATGCCTCTTCTATCTCTAACTGAAGCAAATAATGTAAGGCTGATTCAATTATTGTTTATAAATTTTTCATCAACTGTGATCAAAAGAGCCTTTAAAATTCAGAAGAGTTACTCTTTTTCAGTATCCAGACTCAACAGAGGTGATTTGTAGAGAGACACAAAAGCTCTTCATGTCTCTGTACCATCTTCCTGATCTGGACTGTGAAAGATCAACCAAATTTAGCCCAGTGTCACAAGCATTTCACTGTTCAGGAGTACTTCCAGTAAACCTAGACAATTTCAACATATAAATCTATAAAAATTGTGTGACAGAATAAATTATTTTTGGTACCAGGCAAAATTTAAAGGTGGAAGTGACAGGATTCTTCATTTGGGTAATAGGTTTCAAATACGTAACTTTGCAACGCTAAAGCTTCTGGCCAACCAAACAGTGCTAGATCTCAAGATAATGAAAATGCACTGGAGCTTAAGAGAGCACTTGAGTAACATCTTAAATGGTCAGACAGCCAAAGCATTACAGTCTGAGCTACCACAGCCTAGTAAATACATTGATGTTTTTTAAAGAGAAGTCTCACAAACTGAAAAGGCTTTTATTGTTGCAGTTGGGAAATTATTGTTGCAGTATTGGGAAATTACTAGTTTCTTGGAAGACAAGAAAACATTTCTTTTTCTATTAACAAATTCCTGGCATGAAAAAAAAAACAACAGCATTGAAAATAAGTCAGTGACACCAGTGAAACCGGGTTTCTTTAACTTATTTTTTAAGTTGGATTTTTGCTGGCAGAAATTTTCAGCCTTGAGTTAGGAAATACAAAGATCATATAGATGGAACTTAAGACACAGATGGAAGGATGGTGTTTTCCTTATTCAGACTTAACTTTATCACTCTTAACACTCTCCCCAGATCAGGGCTATATTAACTACTGCAGCTATGAGAAATACTTCTAGAAAGTAATCCATAAGATGAAGTATTTGTGTGTATAAAGACACACAAGGAGAGGATTCTTCTGAAGAGAAAACAAATGGGTGCATGGGATTGTAGGTATATAAAGCCAGTCCTTCACATTTAATACTTGTGAAAGAAACAGAAAATACTCATGAGCATGACCAACACTATCTGTCGAAAAAAAAAAAAAAAAAAAGTCTTAAAAGCATCCCTAGTTTTGACTTTTAAGCTGCGGCTTTCTCCTGAACAATAATTGAGATGGTTTTTCATCAAATCACTGTTAAAATTAACACTGTAGACAAAAGACCCATTTAATTTGGAAATTCATGTAATTTTAACAAATAGAGACCTCCATAAGGGACATACATTCACGATACTCAAAACTCAAGGTTTGTGTTGTGTAAGGGAGAGAAGGAAAACTGGAGAACAAAATGAAAGGGCAAAATAAAGACAATAAAGGGAGTTTGGGAGGCTGCAAAGTTTTATCTTAGCTTCAGGAATGGGCATAACACTCACTGTGTTCTCAATTAATTCATGGCTTATGGGTTAGAAAAGAAAATATGGTGGTGGGGATACAAATTACAGAATTACGGAACCACTGAATCAATTAGGTTGGAAGAGCCCTCTAAGATCATCAAGTCCACCCTATCACAAGAACATCACTACATCAAACAGACAATGGCACTGAGTGCCACATCTCACTTTGAGGCAGAGCACCTGTCTGGAACACAAAAGGCAGAACTTCACTGTACTGTATGCAAGAATAAAGCAGCCTTAATGCAATGCTTCCATTCAGCTCTGAGGGGAAGTGCTGATTGAGTGCTCTTCCAGATCCTCCTGACAATCTACTTTCCAGGACTGTCTAATGCTTGTCTTCAATTAGAAAATGTCTTGATACAGTTTATGAAATGGTAATTTTCATCCTCAAAATCTTATTTATCTTATTTCCCCTTTCTTCCACCCAAATTTTCACTGACATCCTCAAAGCCTGAGTCTACCCAGTGGTATAAAACCCAGGTTTGGAAAACAAGGGGTTTTTGGTTTTTGGGGTTTTTTTTTATTGTTGTTTTTTTTTTTGAGAGCTATGGAACGACAAAACAACATGATGAACTGAACTTTTCCAATATTTCTCTGTTTAAGAAAAAAAAAATCTAATGAAAATATAACATTTTAGATATATGTAAGAAAAGTGAAGGAAATTTAATAGTAAGTTAAGAAGAAAAAATAGGAAGACAAGCAAAATAGAACCCTTTTACTTATTAGTCATACTCTCTGCATGTGAGAATACAGATCCAGTTCTCATCTCAGCATATGAACTGAGCACACTATTGTCCATTAAATACCACACTCAGAAATATTCTGAAATGCTGTGCTCTCAGTCTACTTCATAAATTTCACATCCTCAGAATAAATAATTAAATTTCAATGGAACTGGGGCTAAACCCAAGGTTTTCTACTTCTCTAATGACTTATCTATTCCACCCTGAAGGGTAAATTTCTCACTAAATTTTATGAAGCTACCTAACACACACTGCCATATTTTTTCCCAGCATGTTCAGCAAATCTACTCAGCATATCTGTCCTGAATTCACAAGTAGTTTTCCAAGCACCAAAGTTACACCAGCTCAGATAATTTACTGCTTGTTGAATCAAATGACTGGTACTATTTGCAACTCCACTGTGTTCCCAGAACTCACTGTGAAAAAGGGAAAGAGCTGAAGGAAGCAGAACCCAACACCCGTTGTTCATAGGCGGCTTTGCTACTTTAAAATCACAGTTGCAATTAAGGTGATCAACTGGGAGATATTCTGACTACAGATTTTTAATTCTGTAGTGAAAAGTAAAGATATACCTCTCTATTGGAAGAGGTTTCCAAGTCCTTCTGTGATAGTAATACTACAAATAAAGGGAAAAAATCCTATTAATATGGGTTTTTTTTGAGTTCTGACTGCCATTTAAATATTGATTTTTGTTTCAACAGGTCTCTGGCTCCCTGAAGAGCATTATGGGATTCTCACTCAAATCACAAAACTCTGCCTCACCCTGGCTGGACCAAGGAATTGAGCCATTAGTTTTGTGCAATGAAAGTAACTGATGTTTGTGCAAGTTATTTCTAACTCCCTTTGGGCTAAGAGCACATTGACTTTGTAGCTGTTCTTTTTATTATTATTGAAAAATCAGAGAGAAAATGAGAAAATATAAAACCTGCACAATCTGAATGAGCACTGCTTCTAAACTAAATTATATTCAATATTACAGTGCTTTGATATCCCATGTCATTAGTAAATCTTAAGGCAAATGTAGCACAATAATGAAAATACAAACAAAAAATATCACAGCAAAAAGAAATACACTCATACTCTCACACTCTCAGATCCTAAACTATCCATTTTATAAGTATAGCAGTAGTAATCCTTTATACAGTTAGGGCATGACCTGAAAGAACTCAATGGACTATGCATAAAAGGAAAGTGTTCTTTTAAATAATGTTCTATTCCACAAAATAAAAATTCATCTGCCTTGACAGAAGCACATTTTGGAACACATAAGATATCACTAATATTTTTACTTTGTTACAATCATGAAGAGAAATCAAGCATAATAGTCTTTGTAATAAGAATGCTAGACATTCGGTATATCTCTGGAGTGAGTAAATAATCAAAGCCTGGAATGAGCTACCAGTTGGATTTTAAAAAACTGAAAGAAAACATGCAATTTCCAGAAAATAAAAGGTAATAAAATTGTAACATGCACCACAAAGATGAATAATCACACAAGAAAAAGAATATGAGCTTTAAAAACTCACTAATAAGTTAATTAACAGCATTTTGTCATACAGCATAGTAACTTCTCTGTTTCAGGCAAATAGGCATTTTCAGTCAGTAACAATATTTCACCTTATGTTTAAAATGCATACACTTTTTGAAGTAGAATATGTGCACAAATAAATACACTGATTCATGGACACAGGCACCATTTCTGTTACTTATGTACATTATATCCACTTTATGTTATGTTATTTTTAATTCTAGTATAGGGATTAGCCATGCTCTGAAAATCTACAGCCGTCAAAAAGTAAATATACAGCTTTATCCAGCTGGACATTACAAATATATTAGACACCCTGACACAGCTTATGTAAATATAGACAAAGACATGCTTTTGTATTCATATAAAAAAACAGTACAGCTTTTGTATTTTAATTAATCTTGCTAGCAAGAAGCACATAAGGCACTGCACCACCCTTCTGCATGGCACCCTATGTAAATGAGCCCAGTGCATTTATAAATATGGATGTGGTAGACCCCCAAAGAACACAGTACCTGCTGTCTATCCAACCGCATCCTTTTTGCAGCATTTCTGCTTTCACTCTCACAGGCGGAAGCCAGGATACTCTCTGCAACTGCTGAAGTAAGGTGTGAGGGAATAGGTCGTGACTATGAAAGAGAAAAAGAAACACAGAAATTATTCCTAGCATAATCCACAACATCCTTTTTCAAAGCACACCATACCATCACCTAGGCAGGAAAGTCCGCTCATTGAAAAGCAGTTTATACCAACAAAACAGGGAAATGGAACTTGCAAAGATGAAAAATGAAACTAGTTAGATGTTAAAGCTGCAGCTGATCCAAAGATCCACGAGAAGCCCTTTCCCCCCACAGCTCTATTGTCCAGTGTGTTTAGTCTGGCTCATTAAGCTGTACTTTGAACAGACAGTGGCATATTCTCTGCGTTCCAGCAGCACCCTGGCCGTCTGATTCTTGTTAAGAAAACTGAAAGGCTTTTTATCCTGTGCAGCATGTGACAGAGATGAGTAGTGTTTTTTATAGTCATAAAAAAAAACATGAAAAAAACCCAAAAAACAAAACCAAACAAAACAAAAAAACCCAAGTGATAGGGTTGAAACATCACTCAAAACCTAACAGATTGTCAGAACATTTCAGAGCAGCCTCAATCTGTAGTATATGAATATTTGCATTCCTTGATGCAACATGACTGATGTGATTAGAACGACTTAAAAAAAAAATAAATCTGTTTTTCTTTCAATAATACCAGCCTTCCAATACTTCAGATATTTTGTTGTTCAACTAGATATGGTTCATTTTTCTGATTCAAAACCTGTCATTACTAATTTCATAGCATTTACACATTTAAGGTTAAAGGTGCAGTGAATCCCCCCCCAAAAAAAGAGAATGATAGAATCTTTTTAGCATTATGGTTGATTATGAACTCCAGTATGATCTTGCCTACCATTTCATTAGGAAGAATATTTACACAGCTTTTTTTTTTCCCTGATTACATACAAAACAATATTCCTAAAAGATGAAGCTCATAATAATCTTCTTCATTAATATACAAAGACATACCAGAATTACCAAGAAAATAAACAAAGTGGGGATAATAACAAAAATATTGGTACACATATAAGCCCATTACAGACACTGCAATTTACTGAGCCCAGTTCTGATTTTCCACAAATTTTCAAATCTTCAGTGAACTCACATTTACTATGTAAATTTTTACCTACTGAGGCTATGGCCATGCATGAGGGAGTTTGGGTGTGGTTTTTTGCTTGTTGGGTTTTTTTTGTTGGTTGGTTGGTTGGTTTTTGGTTTTTGGGGATTTTTGTTTTGTTGGTTTGGTTTGGTTTGGTTTTGTTTCAGAAGAGTTTTACTTTCTTACTCCCAAAAACATGGATATGAACCTGATGTGAAATGTCAATTAATGTTGGATGAAAATTTTGAAGTTATTTCCATTCAGTTCCTAGACAGCAGCCTTAAAACAGGTTAATTGTATAGGCTCAACTGATTTTATGGTTTTCATAATATTCCAGAAAATGAGGAACCAGCCATTATCAGTATTAGATTTTTACCTCTAAAAATTAAAGTCCATTTATTGACTTTGGATATGCTCCTCAGAATGCCAATTTTTACTGTGACACTCTACTATCTCTAAAGGATATGACCAAATTCTGTCTAGGATGAGAAGATGAACTAGCTTTCAGAAATAGACAGGGATTTATGGGTCTTCCTCACTAGTGCAATAGGCTTATTTCTCCCCACTTACATGAGAACAAGCTCTCTGGCATGGGCACAGCAGCACTGCAAGAAAGGCAAACCAGAGGCTGCAATACTGCAATAAATTATACTTGGACTGATTTGAAAGAACAAAGCATTGAACTTGTTTCCAGTTTGAAAATAATTCAATCTAAGGGATGAGGGACACTGATGTAACCCCCGGTTCCCTGACAGAAATTAACATTATATGCAGCATAAACAGATGCCCTACTCAGAGCTTCAGAGAAAAAGTATTTACAGAAGGGTTTCATTGAAAAAGCATTATATTTAATAAACTGCCTCCCTGGAATGGTGATGTTACTCTGAATTTGTTACTGAATCCCACTAGATCCCTCTCTATATTTGCTGTACCACTGTACATGACACTGGTTTATGTATCTTCAAGATGCACTGACTCTGTTGGCTGCATGGAAGTCTCACTGTGGTCCTGTAACAGTGATCACACAATGGTATTTATGAAAAATGGTGAGCAAACACCTGAATAATTCCTCCAGCCCAAGTCTTTAGCTAAACCTGTAACTATACCTACACATCAGTGGATTTTTAGAAGGTGATATGTGAGCCAAAAAACCTAATTGTTCTGACCAAAAAGTAAATGGAACACCAGTTCTCCCAGTTTATTTATTTATGGGAGAGAATAAGTTTATTGAAGTGTTACTATAAAAATCAAGCCGTTATCTTTGAAAAGGAGTAGAGTGGTCATGTGCTCACTATTGAAATATCAAACTCAAGTTAACACCTGCAAAAAAGAGGAAATCTCTGGGTACTGGAGTATCTTCCTCCTGAAATATGTGTTAACCCATAATTTCTCTCAATCATCACTGCAGCTGGCTGTTGATATGTTCATGTCAAGAACTACCTACAGTGAACCTTAGGGAAAATGTGATGAATACATGGCCCAGTCACCTGGGGAGTAAAGTACTGTAACAAAGCACAGGAGAAAAATCATCTGCTCAGGGTTCAGGCTCCATCAACAGAACTCTAGTATGGCATTAACTGAGAAGATGAACACAGTCCTCTGTCACTAGGAGCAGAGCTGTTAAAAAGGAGATTTTTCTCCTTTGCAAAATTCCATATCTGTAAAGTCTCAGAAAGATCAATTTTGAAAAGCCTCACCTAAGAGGAAAAATTACTTTGAAATAACCACTTCAAAAAAATGTTTTAAAAATAACTAAATTAATATCTCCATCTTCTAAGCTCAGCTTAACTCAGCTTCCTTTTCCTCTCTACTTCTGATTATTCATGATCTCTCTCATAACTACAGCTGTAAAACCAATTCTGTAAGAAGCTCAAACATCACTGTTGGGTTCTGAACATCCCTCAATTCCCAAGCTGAGGGTGAGATTCAAAGGCCTTGGAAAACACAAAAAGGTGGTATCATTCAATTTTGCAGAAGGAAGCCTGCAGATCTCAGGCAAAAGGACATTTTGCAGGTTCCTGGGCTGCCCTCTGCAGAGCTGAGAGCTGAGCGCTGGTTCCTACATGTTTGGAACTACAGCAGGAAATGTGGGAGCCAAGCAGAACTTTGTCCAAGGCTGCCCTCACAATCCCTGAATGCACAACCTGCCCACTGAACTAACAGACAACCAGTTTTCATTTCATGTCAAAATAGAAAACCCTTGAAAAAATAACATTTCTTAAGGGAAAAAAAAATAGGCATTACCAAAAAATTCCCAACCAGCTTTAGCTGGTTTGGAATGTGCTTAGTGTTGTTTGAGGCATAACCTTCACAGCCCCAGTCTGGTATTTCTCTCACTTCACAGTGATGCAAAGCAGGAAATAACTATACTGGAACTACCCGTGTGTAAAACAAAAGAAAAGAAGAAATCCCATAAATTAATCTACCAGAAGTAGCAAATCACAAGGCAGGATAACATTTTTGACATTTTGAGGCAAGGACATATAGAAAAGGTATGTGAAAATTTTATAGTAACTCTCAGGTGAAGAGATGAATAAAACTTAGAAGGAATCTAGTGAACAGTGTAATACAGACCTTCTGAGAAGACTGTACATCCATCACACAAAAGCAGTATAAAGAATTGCTTTGTATTTACTTGGAAATATGATACTACTTGTGACTGCACTAAAGCAGGAGTCACATTTTGAACACACATCCGTTTTGGGCTTTTTACATCTTCTCAGCTGACACTCAACTAACATCCAGCCTCTAACACCATGTAGGTGAAGAGCATTCTGATAAATGATGTAAGGAAAACCTGCTAGATTGCATGTGCACACAGGTACCTTTGTTTATAACAATTTCTGAGGTGACTGAGATTTAGGAAGTGGTTGGAATTCCCTCAGTAACCCATGGGAGATGACCAACCACCTTCAGTCCTCGCGTATTTGAAACTATTGTGAGACCACCACAGAGCCTGTAGATGACAACAGGGACAACAAAGCAACATGCACACTTAAACACCTTATTGGATATGCACTTTTGCATGCTTTTATGAGAAATAATTTTTTTTGTTCAAATTGATTTGAACTTTTTATACACTCATCCATTTTTCTCTTTCTGAAGAGTTTATAAATCATTGACAGATATGCTTTTGCAAGTTGCCTAATGGAAAATCAAATTAATCAATACTTCTTTCTAGTCTAATAAGTGCGATTTTGCCTTAAAGTATGTAAAACCTAATGAAGACCCTTTCATGACTTTGATGCTCCTTAGGTCTGGATATCAACACTCAAAGCATCTTACAACAAGCCTTTCTGGAGTTACAGAGTAGTCCTGCAAGATTGCTGATTTTAAGTATTTGAAATCAGAAATCCTTGACCCAGTTCATCTAGAAATTAGCTCTCTTGGTATAATCTCTGACTCTTTAAGAAAGGAGAGACTAGCATGTTCAATATACTGTAAAATATGCATTTTCACTATAAAAACTGTATGCAGCATCATGAAATCTGCTGTTTAAAGTGTGGTATTATTGCACCAAATACCTTTTCTGGCATAGTCACACAATTCCTGTATTTCTACACAAAATATAAAAAGAACTTGTATATTTTAATTTCTTATGTCCATTTTTGGCATAAATTTACCAATTATTGATATACTAGATAACTGATTGTATTTCAGTCTAAGCCACTAGGAGCAGTATATTCACTAAAAATAATTTTGCAATTTATTGTGCATGCTGTCCACCTGTGGTTAGAGATCATTGTCTCTTGTTAGAGATCATGTCACCTTGGCATATTTTTGAGATCCAGTATAAATAAAAGCCAAAGCTGTCATACAAAAGTTTGGTCTACATACTTTCACATGTTGCATCAGTCTGGCTCAGTTCTGAAAAAATACAGCTATCTGTTTAATCAGATAACGGGCACACATGTACACCTGCTGAAATGCCAAACACCAT